TTAAAGATTTGTCTATCAATTAATCATTTAGTCAACAAAATAGTATTGGTGTTAGTTGGCTAAGAATTTCTTTTGTTCAGGACAGACGTATGGAATAGAAAACATTTTAACATTTTAACATTGCATTTCTTTAAATAAATTCATTCATAACATGTTCACAACATTCTGCTTTCTCTGTATGTCAAATATGATCATTTAATAGCCTATTGTCTTTCTACAAAATGCATCAAAACTATTATATTCCATTTGTAGTGTTTGTAACACCAATAACATTGTAAGTGGTAAAATTACAGAATATGGTATTGCACATTTTAGACTTGAGTGTGACAGGTTTTTATACCTGAATTAAGGTGATTTAGACTTTTTAACATGACTTTTCAGTGTCCCACATTTAGAACAGCACTGTCCCACATTAGGAAATGCAGATTGTCCGAAACAATTTGGCACTAAGACTACTGATATGTCTGAGTGTGGGTTTGATTAGGGGACATCCTGGGGATTTCAGAGTGGTACTGGGTGTGGATTATTTAATGTAGGCCTATAGCTTCATGTTGCAATATATCTCAGAAGTCTGAAATGCCAAAATTGTCCCACATTAGGCTAATTCACCATATCAATATTAACTAGAAATTGCATTTACCTGCGGAAAATGCGTGTGAATGCTGACGGCTGAAATGTTTTGCAAAACACTGCTGAATGAAGAAGAATCAGCAGAAGATGAAGAAAAAGTACAAGATTAGGAGCAAGAGGACAAATGGCCGAACGCGTCGATGTGATTTTCATGTCTGGGGTTCAAGAAATGTGGAAACCACAGCGATTTGAAAAGTTAGTCCCAAGAGGTGTGGTCAGTGAAGTCAGGCCTAAGTTTAACATTAGCCCAGATGGAGATTTCTCGGGACCACCTGCCGCTTTGAAGCTCACAGTGGAAAAAGCTTTTCTCCAATTGTCCTGAAAACTCAATATGTCAGAGAGGACAAGTTTTCCTACATTTTGAGGGTAAATTTATGTGTGTGGGGTGAAGATTGTGGTCAGGAGAGCAATTTGTTCGGGAGATTTTGAAACTATTTCAGAACTCTGTCCCACTCTAGCGATGATGTCACTCACTCTAAAATGTGAGAAAAGTTCAAAACCCAACAGTTGGAGGTACAGTTTGAAAAGTATAAAAGGTAGCAAGACAAGTGAAAGTAATATGAATAGAGGACAAGTGTGTGAACATTTTAAAGCAAAAATGGAGTCTCTAGGCAGAACACAGCCAAAGTTATGAGGCTGAGAAAAAAGTGTAAAAACGTGAAAAAGTTGAAAATCTTCCCATTCATTTCAATGGGGCCAAATTTTGGACAAAAAGTTAAATAACTTTAAAAATAAAAGTAGTAGAAACTGCTTCCAGCATTCACACTAATTAAACATTTTGGGGATTAGTAGTCTAGCCTATAAAACAAAGACTTGTACTTTTCCGTCTGAAAGTTTGAAGGACGAAGCTAAACGTAAATAACGTACCCTACAGGAATATGTTTTACAAGATCTCTTTTTAAAGAAAAGGTTTTACACACAGTCAACTCTTTAGAGGTTGTAAATCATTTTCTTATTGTTCTGTATACATTTCTGTTATTTCTTTTAAGTATTTACCATAAAGTTATCTAGAAAACGTACTTTCTCATTAGAACTGAGCCAACATACCGTTTGTGACTGTGGGAACCATCAACGTTAACACCAGTAAAAGCATAGTGGTGCTCCTTAAACCCAAACACAGGCCTATCCATAGTTTACGTCCAAATTATTCATATCCATCCATCCATGTGTGCAGTTTCTTTATACCAGCATCTTTCCTCTGCTCCGAGACAAAACAGGAGGACGACACGAAACCACACACTCACGGGATGCGTTCAGGAGGACTCGGAATTTACACGATCCAAGTAATCTTTCAGTCCCTTTTTTGGGTTGTTGATTAAAAACAAGTGAATAACTTAATATAATTGTTTGATGTGAGTATCGCTATAATAACCAGCCTCAACATTTCCTGCTGTTGTTACATAGAAGAGATGTTCACTATCCAAAGAGCTACATTTCCTTTAGTATTTTATGACCTCTTACTGCATTATATTCTCTCTGGGATATTTGCATCTGTATCTGTTGTTTTTGTATTAAACTATACAGTTACATGTTTTAGTATTCCTGTAGTGAGGCCGTCCCAACCAGTTGATTTCATTATAAAGCATTTATTTGGGACAACACACATTTTTTTTTTTCAAATGTCTATACAGTAACTTGTTTTTAATAATGACAAAATAGACGGTGTAACATCATTAACAATGTTTGCAAGTGTTCATGATGTGGAGTTGATTAGTTTTGTATTTTGTGTATTTCAGAGTTTAGATTTATTGTTCTGTTTCATTATGTCATTTCTTATATTATGCTTGTGTTTGTCTTTGTTCTAGTGTGTATTGTTACATTCTTCTCTGTGTGTCTTTAGTGTTTCCTCATTTATTTGGAAGTACAAGTAGAGCACGTGACAAAAAGGGATCCTGCTGCTTTTAGGGGGGATCGGAATTTCCACTATCCATGTTCCATGAATTATTTCACCTTTAACGCAGTCCCTCTTGTGGTCAGGTGTGCAATAGCAAATATCTTTTCTTTTTTTTCTCCTTGAAAGCCAAGTTTCCATTGCTCCATAATGTCTGCTGACTTGGTGTTTCATCATGAAATACAACTTTTTGCTCCAACATAATTAATTATTAATAATAAAATAACAATTATAATTAAAAAAAGCATTTAATTTTTAAACTTAATAAATATTTGGGTTTCAAAAACAATTTGCCTAGCTATTATTATTAATATTATTATTGTCATACCAATACATACATTTAAAAAACAAGTCGATCCAAAGTTCTTTTAATCAAATTTAAAGGGTAATAGAATCAGAATCAGAATCGTTTTTTTATTTCCAAGTACATTTACACATACAAGGAATTTGTCTTGGTGTATTGGTGCAAAAGGGTTAGCCACAAGAACCACAATAAAATAGAACAAAACATTTAAGAAGAGTTCATAATTCTGAAAAAATAGAGTACAGCAATGTAAAAAAAGAAATTAAATTAGATAATAAGATGATATGACGGGATTTAGAAATTACATTCCTGCTACAGGGCCCTCTAATAAAAGGCAAAGGCATGCCAAAAAAATGTTCTGATTTCAAAGAAGTAGGGTTGCAAATGTGTTCCCTTTAAGAGGTGAAAACTGAGGGCATCAATTTTCCTGCTGAAATGTTTTGTTTTTTTAATATATAAATTGTATATCTATATATATATATATATATATATATATATATATATATATATATATATATATATATATATAAAGCAGCAAAATGAAACAGAAATGTCTAAAAAATTGCAACGAGCTCAGACTATAGCAACACATGGTGCAGGTGTGAGATGGTCACTGTGAGCCAAGATGAACTAAAGCTTGTTTATTTGGCAAAAATTGTAACACAGTCAAGTTATAACTTACATGCAGAGATAAACAGCTGGAGGGATGCCACATAGAAGGAATCCAATCCCAGCTGTGAGTATGTATAGGAAATACCCCGATGACTTCTCCTCTGTGTAAAATCAGATGTGAATGACTTTATGTTGCAGGTCATCAGAGCTTACACATTCATTATGACTTTTATTTAAGTGAGGAGACCAGCTTTGAGCTCTACTTACCTTCAGGTTTGTCAGACACGGTTAAATTCCACTGATAAGTCTTTGACCCTGAAGATTCAGTTAAATGACATGTATATAGTCCTTCATCATCTTCCTGAGCATTAGAAATAATCAGCTTTGAGGATAGATCTATTGTCAGTCTGTCAGAGGTTAAATTTGAAACAGTCACATTTCCTTCCATTGAATGAGAAAAACGAAATCTGCCTTTGCTCCAGTTGATTTGTTTTGTATTTTCTCTTGATGTGTTGCAAGTAAAGATGACAGAGCCTCCCCTGGACACCTCTTCATCCGTGTGGACGACTTTTTGATCCGCTTAAATCAAAGAATGAAAAAACAATTAATACATATGCAACAGATACAAAACTTAGCCTTGAGAAAAGCATGCATTGCAAAAAACACAAAAGTTGTACTCTACCTGCAAAGACCCCGTGCATAAATAATAAGGAGAGCAGAGCTGCTTGGTTTGGATGAAACATGATGACCATAAGCCAGAGAAAAAGACAGACTGACAGTTCATCACCAATAAATATTTCTGTGAAAAGGTGGGGGGAAGAGGGAGTGGGGTGTTGTTTTGAAGGAAATGATGTGTCACGTCGGCCGTGAACCACAGAGGTCATGGCTAACGTCTTTCAATAGTGTGAGAATGTGAAAAGTTCTCAAAGTTTATGAGATTAAAAAAGTGAAATCATAGCTTTGTTAAATGACCTGGTGCATTTACCAAGAGGAGCAGACAGCTTCTAGAATTATTTAGTGTTTTAATGAGTGAAAGAAATTATTATTATTTTTAAAGGAAACACTTCTGTGACCTAACATTTACAAATGCCCCCTCTCTCTCTCTCTCTCTCTCTCTCTCTCTCTCTCTCTCTCTAAAGAGATCTTCAACATGTTTTATTGCTAAAACAAAATCGAGTCAGGCACATGGATCATCATTTTTTCATCAAAATGTGAGTCAGGTCGGGGGTCAATTCAATCAATCAATTTTTATTTGTATAGCTTCAACTCATAACAAGTGTTATCTTGAGACACTTTACAAAAAGCAGGTAAAAGACCTTACTCATTGTTATGTTACAAAGATCCGGTCTATCCATCATGAGCACTTTAGCAAAGCAGCAAAAGTTACAGTGGTAAGAAAAAACTTTCTTATTAAAAGGCAGAAATCTTCAGACCGGATCTCCAGCTCATGATGAAACAGCCTTCACAGGTCTAGACTGCGCCGGGCTTGGAAAGGGAAAGGGGGAGAGATGGGATAAGATGCAGGAAGAGGGATAGGGAGCAAGGGGGTCGGGGGTTTCAACATTTTCTTGATAAAAAAATTCTATTACTATAAAAATAATATTATTGAGAACAAGGTCTTAAGTTTCCAATTTTCAACAAAAATACTGTACTTCAATTTTTTCACGTTCAAAGGCGGCTGCTGAACCTGAATCTGCTGAAAATTTGCGTCAGGTCGTTGCTCAACATTTTTACACCAAAATTTGAGGGGGGGGGGGGTAAAATCATTTTGTCATCAAAACAAAAACATCTGACACAAATTGTCATGAAAACACGTCGAGCTGACCTGACTCAAATTTTCAGCAGATTCAGATTCAGGTTCAGCAGCCGCCTTTGAAAGTGAAAAAATTTGAAGTCTGGTATTTTTGTTGACAATTGGAAACTTAAGACTTTGTTCTCAATAATATGATTTTAAGATAAGATAATCCTTTACTCATATCGGAGAAATGTTCAGTGTTACAGCAGCAAAGAGCAAGGATAGCCAACAAAAAGAAACACAAGAAAAACCTATTATCAAATACATTTAACTTTTTTATACACAAAACAAATTAACTATACACACCAACCTGAAAAGATGAAGCTCATGTATCACAAACATGAATTCAATCTGCTAAACTCAAAGTACAACTCCATTGATGTCACTCAAGTAGCACTCGAGAATCAGTTTTGCAGAAGAAGACACCTGAGCATCAGTGACCTCCTGATTATTCTGAACCATCCAGACCGCTCAGGTGGTCTGGGACAGGTCTGCTCTCTGTCCCCAGAGTCAGAACCAAACATGGAGAAGCAGCGTTCAGCTTCTATGCTCCTTATATCTGGAACAAACTCCCAGAAAACTCTCAGCTCTTTTAAATCTAGGTTGAAGACTCACCTGTTTACAGCCTTTCATTAAACAGCTTTAATAAGATTTTAAACTTTAACTCTGCTCTGTAACTTTTAACTCTTTTTATATTTTTACTTTTTTTAATTTCAATTAATTTCATTTGAATTATTTTTATTTGAACATATTTTCAGATTTAATAATTTCAGTGATTTTTTAAATGTTCTATTTTAATGTTTCTTTTCTTTCCTCTGTCATGATGCTTTTTGATGTCTTGTGTGAATCACTTTGAATTACCTTGTTGTTGAAATGTGCTACATAAATAAACTCACCTTGCCTTAGGTTTGAAGCTGCTTAGAGACCTAAGAGGCCAGAAACTGCAGGAAGCGACCAAAGCTGCAGAGAGAAACAGCCAATGGCTATGGATGAAGATGCAAGACCTCTGCTGGGACCCAAAGTAGCAGTCCAGGTTGACATATAGGGGATGTTTTCTGGGACACCAGAGGGCGCTGTTGAGCCCTCCTGAGACGTCGTCAGCTCAACAACAAAAACACTGAGGAAGGAGAGTGCCCACTTGAAAACCCCTCTGTGTCTACATTCATCAGCAGGGTACTCTCTCTTACTAGGTGCTTGCACATGAAGGTTTTTTTTTTCTTCTTTTGCTTCTCATCCAAAACATACATGAACACTTTTGATGGTAGTGTTTTGAATTGTTCACATCAGTGTGTATTGTTTTGGTTAAATGAATCAGTTTAGAGAAGAGGGGACATGGTTTTTAGCTTTGTTTCACTTTGTAAGACATTTGTAGAGTTTTCACAAAGTAGTTCACTCTTTTTTTTGTCTCTGAGGTGTTGAGAAATTGGGTGACAGTTTATGGAAATGTGTTTAAAAGTTTGGGGATAACTGCACTTTGAGATAGCCCTGTTGTAATTCAGTTATTTCACTTTGTTATATTTTGTGCTTTCAGTTATTTACGGCTCTTTTTATTTGAACGTCTCTCATTGTGTACCTGTTTATGTACTCAACCTGAGGAGTATGACTGGAAATGTCTGATTTTTAAAGGGCCTGTCTCTACCTGGATTATAGAAAAAAAATGCAATAACTTGATCATTAAATAACTTGATTACACTTGCCAAGTATTTTTTTACAGAAATTTAAATTATTTAAGCTTATCTCAAGATTAACAAATTTCATAGATAGATATCTTGTTACCCTATATTAGATAGATAAGTCAATATTTGATTCATCCCCTCTGTGGGGGAAATTCAGAATTTTTAAATTAAGTTATTTGACTTCCTAAATACTTTGAGATGTATAAGATCTTTTTATGTCTTACACCTTATGTATGCCTTAGTATTTCACTTAATCTAAACCTAAACAAAAGTTGAAATATAATTTCATTATTGTTAATATTTCTTTCTTAATTAATTGAATTGATGAATTTATTGTTTTTGGCTTTCTTGTCCTTTTTATTTTATAGTTGTTGTGTCATATTGGCCTTTAGATTCCCTGTCTGAAACGCAGGGTTGGGAAGTAACGGATTACATGTAACGGCGTTACGTATTTAAAATACAAAATAAGAATAACTGTATTCCGTTATAGTTACAGTTTAAATTGGTGTATTCTGAATACAGTTACTTTCTCAAAAAAGGATTACTTATAGGGATTACTTTACGGCACTACACGCAGGTAGCAGGTGGCTCTATGTGCGCAGGTACGCTGCAAGTCAATGCGCGAGAGCACTTTCCACACAATGACAATGGCAGAGGATGAGACAAACGACCAGGAGGAGGACAAAAATGTATTTTTGCCATGGAAATTCAGAGAACATTTTACCTACAAACCTGGTAAAGAAGGCCGCAACATCACAGTGTTTCCATCTTTCAAATGACAGAAAAATAAATGGCATGCTTTTATTTTTTAATTTGATTCAATATTCTAATTGTTAAGAAAGATAAACAACGTGATTAAACTACAGGCTGTTGTTGCCATCTAGCCAAACAAAACTGAACATTCACAGCCTCTGAATTCTATAGAATTTCAACATTGACATTTATGTCATCCTATTTCCCTCTTTTCACCAACATTACATTTTAAACTGGGGATTTCCTTTTTCTCGGGTTGCGCGTCTCTCCCCCAGCTCGCCCCCTCCGGTGCGCTCCTCTCCATAATGCGCTCGTCTCCTCCCTCTAAAGCTGCTGCTACTCCGTAGGACGCTTGGATTAGGGGACCTCACCACTGTTTGTACCCCCGTCTTCGATACCTTTTTCCAGGGCATTTATGTCCGATCAGACACAGCGCTGACCAGCTGTCTGCTGCGCAACAACAGGGAGTGTAGAGCGCCCGGTCCACAGAGGACACAGCTCACACCTCCTGCTCAATGTATGACACTTCATTCTTAAGATGAAGAAAAGAGAGGCCCTGTTTAATGCCGAGGTTTTCTTATAACCAAAAGTTTCTTTGTAATATTCAGATTTATCTTCTATAACTCGAAAGTATTGTGCGTTTATTTGCCTCTCTCACTAAGACCTATTTTGCGCTTGCAGTCATCTGGCTTTCTGTCCAAACTCTCCATGATGTAAACCAGTAGAAACCAGTAGTGGTGTCATTCACGCAAATTTTCTTTGTAGATCTCCCGCAAAACGCCCACCAACCAAACGTGCAAACTTTTGGAGTGAACGCGCAATTTAGTACTCTTTACTTGGGAGCTCAGTAAATCTGGTCCTGAGAGTTTAACAAGTGGCAAAATGAATGATGGAGGAAAGCACATTTGGCAGAATTAAAAACAATCCACTCTCGGTGGACCTCTTCTGTTGTACATGCCAGCAGCCTACTATTTAGTCCATTAATGTATTGGCACCACGAGGTTGCAGGACAAAATTGACCACATTTGTGTTTTGTGTACTTGCATAACTTTTTCTCTGAAGACAGTAATTAGATCGTTCTCCAAAGCATGTGTTAACTAAATTCACTGTTCCAGATAAACAGATAAACTATTGGCTAATAACAGTGGTAACGTCATCGAACGGCACAATTGGCAGATGGTGCATTCAGGGTGTCAGGCACATCGGAAAAACGATGCCCGAGTTGTAAAATGCACATGAACACCTGCTCAAGTCGGAACAACAAGTCGGAAACTCGGAAAAGAAGGAGGTTCTCGTCTTGCCGACTTGACGTCAGAATCGTCATCAATCGTCATCACCCCCTTGCTCCCTATCCCTCTTCCTGCATTTTATCCCATCTCTCCCCCTATCCCTTTCCAAGCCCGGCGCAGTCTAGGCCTGTGAAGGCTGTTTCATCATGAGCCGAGGATCCAGCTGAAGATTTCTGCCTTTTAATAAGAACGTTTTTTCTTACCACTGTAACTTTTGCTGCTTTGCTAAAGTGCTCATGATGGATAGACCGGGTCTTTGTAACATAGCAGAAATACAGAAATACAGCCCATTTAACAAGTCATTCATTCCTGTCTCACAACGAAGAAGGGACTTTTGTTTCCTTCAGCCCAGCTTCCTGTCAGGTGCTGTTTCCATTGATTCAGTCATGAAGACAAGCTTTGGTCTCTTTCTTTGCCCTCACTGTGGGTATTTGTTTTGTGGTAAAAAAAGGTGTCATAGTCCAACCCATGAAGAAAAACGATCCCTAGCTAACCACAGATAAGGGATGGTATGTGAGGAAGACACACAAATGAACGGCATGGGATTGAAGAATTTGTGATGTTTTTCTACAAGCTTTAATAAATTAACAGTTCAAATAAAATGCTAAATAAAGCGAACAGATAACCATAGAGCAGGAAGTGAAATGTTTTACGGCTAAAAAAGAAAAAACAAAAAGTGTCTTACATCAAAGTGTGGTTAAAGCATCATTGGTTATCTAGATTTAACTTTCCAAAAAGAATAACAATAAAATGCACAGCAGAACAAAGTAAGATAAATAAGGCTTAGTGCATGAAGGGAAAATGTAGAAAACATCATCAGTAAAAAAAGATAAGCAAGGCTTTACAGGACTTTAATAAAAAAAAACACACTGCAGCTATCAGTCTAAAAGAACACTCTACTGACTGTTACTAAAAAACATTCTCAGCCTCAACATGCTGCATTCTCTTCAACAGTTAACACGTCAGTCAAAGACTTGAGATGTAATTTAAAGGTTGTTTTTTTTGTCAAGCCTCTAACCACAAGTGGATCTGCTATTTCAAGCTGGGAGTGAGTCATGGTCTAGAAATGGAATGGTGTTTCTCCCTTCAATCAGTTCGGTATAAAAAACTGGAAAAAAAAGTCACTGAAAAAATTTGGCATTTAGTGTTAAAGTCTTTCTATGTGATTTTTCACACTTAAATATAATATAAATCAAGTATCTCCTCTGAAAATAACTCTGTGAGTCATGACTGTCTACAATGGGTGTAACACCCGAGTCCCACTGTCTGTGATGTTTTCAGAGTTTTCAGAGTCCTATCTTCACTTTGTTTACATCGTCGGGACGGCCGGCTGACTCCTCCCCTCGTGTATAAAAGTTGTTTAATTGAGGGACTAGAGAAAAGAAGAATAACATACTGTACTCACTGCCGCCCCCATAACATAACATAACATAACATAATGAATAACTGCATTTTCTTATCACAGTTACGATCTTAAATAGCCATGGAAAGATAAAAAAAACATCTTCACACAATATCGTACCCATTTCAGCCACCAGGGGGTAGTAGTCAAATTGAACACGAAATGAAAGCTCCTCTTAGCAGCTTTGTAACTGAAGTGCTAATGACCTGTAAACAACATAATTTAGGTGCTTGAATGTGTATTTCAGTTGTTTAACTCTGTGAAAAGTCACAGCAGCAGACTGATAGCCTGACTACAAAATGCTGGGTAAGGCTTGTTAGTGCTTCAACTTTTCCTGTAAGGATCACCTCGTTTATAGGCACTACTTAGATTGGCACAAAGACACAAAAACAAATCTCAAAATCTTCTTTCCTACTTTCCTTTCAAAACCTGTTCTGTTCTGTGTGCATGTACACATGCTTCATACTCATTTGCTGTGACCAGCAGTTAATACTGTTGGTGTGAAAACAGAGTACCTTCCTGGTGGCTGACGGTTAAAGCCACAGGCCTTCATGTTTAAAAACTGCTTTGCATTTGTGGTGACAGTTAAATGGTCTCCTTCCTTTTTGACTTCTTCCAATTTTGCCTTGTTAGTTCTACATCAACATTGTAGCTGACTTTCATATTTTGGTGACTCTTCAGAAAAGCTCTTAACCTTCAGGTTCATTTTTGACATTCTTTTTTTGATAATACTACTAGCTGTTCAGTTGTAATATTTGGCAACAATAACTTTAAATATCTGAATTGAGAAATTGGCTATTTTTAAAACCAATGTCAATGACATCAAAATGTAAAGCACCAGGAATACTGCCTATTTTCACTAACGGCTGCGTCAGGAATGAAGTCGTTGGAACCTTTTGCCTCTTGCCTCGTGTGCCGCCTTCTTCCCGTAGTATGAATCTACAAGGTAATAAAAAAAGTAAAAGTTAGTAGTCACAGTATGTAACCGTATAAGCTTTTATATTTAATAGTAGAATTGAATAGTTCACTGTAGTGTTTGAGATACTTTCATATTTCGTACCTTGCAATTTCCATACGTTTATAGAAGCAACACAAGACAGCAGCAACAACGAGGACGAGCAGAAGAACAAAGAGGGTCCAACTGGCAGTGCAGGATCCTGTAGAGAGACAGGACAGAGGAGAACATGAAGAAGTAACAGGAAGTACAGATTTGCACGACCAGTTAATTTAATCCAATGCAGCCCAGTACTGAATGGACTGTTACTGCACCCTTAGGTGACCTGTGAGGTCCATTCATTTATGTAAAAGAGCTGTTCACCTCCTTACACTGGCTCCCAGTTACTGCTCGCATCAAATTTAAAACTCTGCTGCTCGATTACAAAACAGCGACAAAAACGTCTCCTCCTTACTTTAACTCTCTGATCCAGGTCTACACTCCCTCCCCCCCCCAACCTCCAACCTTCACAACAGGGTCCTAAGACGCTGACTAGACTCTTCTCCTCTGTCGCCCCCCGGTGGTGGAATGAACTTCCAAACTCCATGTGATCTGCAGAGTCCCTCTGCACCTTTAAGAAAAAGCTAAAGACCCAGCTCTTTCATGAATACCTACTAACTTAATGATGATGGTCTCCATATTATTGATGATGATGATGGTAATGACGATGGTTTTTGTTTGATAACGATGACTTATAAGATGGTTTCTATACTGATTAGAGCTCTCAAGAACTGCCCTCAATGTTGTGCTTTGCCTCTGGTCACTTCCTGTCAGCACCTGTGTGTCCAATCAGACTCAAAGCTGATCGTTTGCTCTTACTCACATTGTTCTCTTTTTTCTAGATCCTTGTGTTGTTCTTACTCTCTGATGTACGTCGCTTTGGATAAAAGAGTCTGATAAGTGAATTGTAGAATGTATCTGTTTATGAGATACATATCTGGAATTTCTAGATTTGCTAGCTCTGGCTTCTCATTTTGTTTATTGTCTTTGTTTTTTCTTTACAAGACTCAGTAGACTGTGAAACTGAATTGCCCTTCTGGGATTAATAAAGTTGTCTGAATCTGAATTAGTACAACTGGCCTGCAGTGAATCACACTTTGAAGCTATTAAATGTCTCAGCTCCTTTTCCTTCAGCACTAAGATCAGATCCAGACAGATCAGGTAACACTGGGAGCTTCAGGCAAAAAACAAAAAACTACCCAGCTCAGTTATGTTAACAATTTGCTGACAGCTGCCATCCAGCCAGGCATTAAATCAGCTGCTAATGGTTAATGATTAAATAGCATTCTGTGAATAACATACTAAACATAACAAGTTATCTTTATTGTGGGATGTCAGCGTTTTTAACACTCTGATACTTTAACAAAGTGTTTTTAAATGATACTGATCCCTGTTGGTTTCAGGTTTGATAGTATCTTCAGTACAGATGCCCTAAAAGACAACAGATCTACAGTAACAGTTATATTTTCAATCACACAGCTGTGGTCAAGAGACATACAGTAGAGATGAAGTGAAGAAAGCTGTGAGACAAAGTAACAACAAAGGTGTGCTTGGTAAGTGTTCAGACTATTTTCAAAGTCATTTTTGGGCGTTTTCACTTTTATTGGATAGGACAACTGGACAGAGACAGGAAATGTTGAGAGGAGAGAATGAGGGAATAACCACTAAGTTAGCGCTCTCCAAATTAGACTTTCATGAACTTTTGACATGTGTAAATAAGGAGTCTGTACTCAATGGCCAGTGGAAGGTCAGTTCTATTTTTAAGATCCTGATTGTAACAGTATTTAATCTTCTGGCCTCACATGTTGGAATGTTTGACCACAATAGGTCAATTGTTTTGCAAACATGAGCTGGTGTTCACTGTCGGTTATTAAAGCATTTTCGGGTTAAAAAAATAATGCAATGCAACTAAAACCCTGCTAAATGTTTTTTATCCTATCTTTTCTGGCCAGTCCTGAAACTAAAAAAACAACAAAGACAAAAATAAAAATTACTATGACGAGGATATACAATATTTCACAAGACTGGTCCTGCTTTAGGTTTTAAAGGCTTTGTATGTGATTTTTTGATCCAGCAGATGTCGCCCTTGAGCACCAGCATGAAACCAAAACAACTGGCGCTGCATTGTTGTGTTAGCATGCTAATGCTAGTGATCTTTATTATGCTGGTATCTTCACACTGCATGTAAATTTACCTGAAATGAGCGTGATCTAGAAACACAGTTAAGCAGTGAGTACAGTATGTTATTCTTCTTTTCTCTAGTCCCTCAATTAAACAACTTTTATACACGAGGGGAGGAGTCAGCCGGCCGTCCTGGCGATGTAAACAAAGTGAAGATAGGACTCTGAAAACTCTGAAAACATGACAGACAGTGGGACTCGGGTGTTACACCCATTGTAGACAGTCATGACTCACAGAGTTATTTTCAGAGGATAAACTTGATTTATATTATATTTAAGTGTGAAAAATCAGTAGCTGCAGTTTTAGAGTCTGAGAACTTGAAACTTTTGTGGTTTTTTTCTGATAGTGCAGAGAGGGAGGCTAAAGCAACTTTAAAGGCATTCCTGTGCCATGTGCAGGATCTATTGTTGTGTAACCAGGGTAGCCTGAGCTGGTCCTGGACCCTCTTCTTACAGTTGGACACAGCTGAAATATCTACACACATCAATCAAACTTTATTTATATAGCACTTTTCAGACAAATTAAATTGCAGTTCAAAGTGCTTTACAAGAGTGCAGAAAAGTTATTGACGAAAAAGTAGTTTATAAAATCACTGACAGCACACTAAGAATTATAAAAATATAATAAAAGCAATAAGATATTAAATTAATACATAGGAGAGGAATATTTAAAATTGTAGTAGGATTAAAAAGACAAAACAATAATGTTAGATTTGAATTTATATAAAGCGCTATATAAAAGCCAGACTGAATAAATGAGTTTTCAGACTGCGTTTAAAAATCTCAATATTCTCGGCATGGAGGAGTCTCAGAGGAATCCTAATCAAGTATATCCAGCATTTCAACTCTCACCATGTCCTTAAGGATTCCACGGGAACAACGTGCTATAATAAACTCATTTGGCTGCTGAAATAACTGGAGGCGAGTCAAAAGGGATCTCACCTGAGGTGAAATGCACACGGAGGTAAGCATGTTTACTCCCATACGAGTTCGACGCCTCGCACTGGTAGAGGCCGTTCAGCTCGGAGGTGATGCTCAGAAACTGCAGCGTTGAACCATCAACTCGGACCCCGGACTGAGGCCACGACCGGTCAGATCTGAAAGTTAGAACAATGCTGAGCTTAACAAAGACTTCCAGCCCCAAAAACAAAAAAGGGTCACCATCTGTCGAAAGTTTTGCAAAGACATGAAATCAAATACAAACTATTTAATCCTTTCTAAAGGCATAGATAGAAAGATAGAATCTTTATTATCATTGTATACAAGGACACAAGAAAACTTTGTTAGCAGCAATCCTATACAGCAGCATTTACAAAAACAAAAATATATTTGTGGTAATATGAAGACAAATATGTTTGTGAAAAGTGGCCAGAGTGGCCAACTGCTGTTCAGTGAATGAATAATAATAATAATAATAATAACAATAATAATAATAATAATAATAACAATAATAATAATGATAATAATAATAATAATAATAACAATAATAATAATAAATAGACAGTTGTGGTGACTGAAAGAATATATACAGTTATAATTGTGCAGTAACTGATTAGGTAAACAAATATAATAATATAGAGAGATGTCAGATAAGTGAAGTTATAGTGCAGTGAAAGAGTATATAGAGTTATGCAGTGACTGATGAAGTAAATAAACAGTTAGGCGATGAGTGAATTAATGAATATATAGAGTTAGTTAAAGTGCAGTGACTGAGTAAATAAATAAACAATTATAAAGCAGTGAATTATAAAGTTATTGCACAAGTAATATTGAACAGTTAGCAGTGGTTAGTAATTATTGCACATTGTATTCCCGTCTTGTGGGAATGAAAACATGAAAACAGACACTTAAAAAGTGTCTGTTTTCATGAACTGCTCCTCCTTGCTCCCTCTACACTCTGAGTCCGTCAGCTACACTCTGTTGAGCCCACACTGTTAGACCCCACGTGGGCCAAGTCTGCTCTGATTGGTCTGCCGATCCGCTCTGTCGTTATTGGTCAGTTGCTCAGCACACGTCTCGGAAATCTCAACATGAGCTGCTGGGCCACAACGAGCCAA